TTCCAGCCTAGATAGAACAAGTGACCTGAAGAGTGTCATCATGGACTTGGTCTCCCTAATTTTGAAGGTTCTCATTATGCATCCTGTAATTTTTCTAGCAGATGCGATTGATAAAATGTTGTGGTCTTTAAAATGAGATCTTCTGACATTATCACTCCCAGGTCTTTTACATTAGTTTTTCGCTCTATTGTGTGGTTGGAATTTGTGTTATACTCCGATATAGCTTTAATTTCCTCACGTTTTCCGTATCGGAGTAATTGAAATTTCTCATCATTGAACTTCACATTGTTTTCTGCGGCCCATTTAAAGATTTGGTTGATGCCAGCCTGGAGTCTTGCAGTGTCTTCAATGGAGGACACTGTCATGCAAATTCGGGGTGTCATCTGCAAAGGAAGACACTGTCCTGTGGCTTACATACCTGTTTATGTCAGATATGAGGTTGAAGAACAGGATGGGAGCGAGTATTGTGTCTTGTGGAACAGAGCTTTTCAAAGTAGCCGCCTCAGACTTTACTCTGTTTATTACTACTCTTTGTGTTCTATTTGTTAGGAAATTATAGATCCATCTACCAACTTTTCCTGTTATTCCTTTATCACGCATTTTGTGCGCTATTACACCATGGTCACACTTGTCAAAGGCTTTTGCAAAGTCTGTGTATACTACATCTGCGGTTTTTTTTTTGTCTTATAGAGCATCCAGGACCTTGTCATAATGGTCCAGTAGTTGGGACAGGCAGGAGCGACCTGCTCTAGACCCATGTTGCCCTGGGTTGTGTAACTGATGGGTATCTAGATGGGTGGTGATCTTGCTTCTTAGGACCCTTTCAAAGATTTTTATGATATGGGATGTTAGCACTATCGGTCTGTAGGTCTTTGCTAATGCTTTACTTCTCCCATTGTGGAGTGGGGCTATGTCTGTTGTTTTTAGCAGTTGTGGGACGACCCCTGTGTTCATGCTCCCTCTCCATAGGAAGTTAAGAGCACATGACAGGGGTTTCTTGCAGTTCTTGATGAACACGGAGTTCCATGAGTCTGGGCCTGGGGCAGAGTGCATGGGCATGTCATTTATTGCCTTTTCGAAGTCATTTAGCGTCAGGATAATAGCAGATAGGTTCGAGTCTACCAAATTCTGTCTCTCACTGGGAATAGTGAATGGATCTGCTAGTGTTCATTTGTATTTTTTCTACATAGCTCTTATCTGTCAGTTCCTTTCTGCTAAGCGTTTTTATTCTTATGCTTGTGTTTGACTCACCCCGAAGTTATATCGGGCATTCTTTGTTTATTGGATGCAAGATTACCTCGGGCAACAGCTTTTTCATTTTCCTGGAGGACTGCGTTCGAGGGGAAAGCACAGCAGTTTGACGTGACTCCCTTGCCAATAATTCGTGCATGTCTTTGTTGGTAAAACTTCAGAGAACGCTTGTTATATTCTTTTCTTGGGGACATATTTACAGCAAGAAAAAAAAAAGATAGAGAATGAGTGAAAATTAAACTGTCTGTACCTGTAGTTTCTATAGGTAATCATTTACAAAACCGACACCTGGATAAATAACATGTGCCACACTTGGGTCTCCACAGTGAAGATATCCAAGTGTTTCCATGTCTTATCCATCCAATTGGAGCTTCTGCAAGCTTGCTTTCAATAAGTACACCAAACGTCTTTGTTAGTACTGTGCAATTTTAGGTATCAATTTAGAAATCTGTCATTTTTATATTATTATCTGACGAGTTATAAGCAAAATGACAGCACTTGCCGACCTCCCACCGTCAGAAAAAGCTGTCATCATTATAGATGATGTAAATACTGATGTATGCCTTCTTCAGGTTGTGTATATAGTCAAGAGCACTGAATTTATTAGTGTTGAAAATAAGCTTGGAATTAGTTCCTGCCAGGGTCGCTGGAAGTATTATTACTGCCTCTTATTATTATGTTCATTAAAGCGCTATATCCGTAGAGGGCATACCGCGCTGGGAATTTGAAAGTAGATTCAGTTCCTTGGATCAAGAGCCCTTATCAGGCTCAAGGCACCCCCTACCCCGTAGATTGGTTGTTACTACCTAGTTTCATACAGTTGATGCATTCTAAACATTTAGATATATGTGACTGTTATTTGAATCAGTGTGGAGTCATTTGTTTCATGATACATGATTTAGTAACTGTTAAAAACTTAGTTACCTTGATCACCATGCAGAATCCTCAGTTATGTCATGAGATGAAGTGCTCACTTCACTCACACTTCACACAACGGAGTCTTCACTTACATCACAAACCTTACTCTAAGATGCAGGCTCATCGTCCACTTCGTGGGGACACTTCTGTCCACACGAAGCAGGCACTGTCTTCCCTTTTGAGAAACACTTTGGGTATCCGTCTCAGCAACCTGATCACCACTAGGAGCACATTCGTTGCTGGTTGTTTCAACGACGAAGGCGATGATAAGCTTGTAACCTTCACCGATATAGAGACCCTGAAAAGAAATCGCTTCATCAAGAAATTCAACCGCAACGTCACCAGCCTTTCTCCTGACGACCTCTGCAAATCTATTGAGAAATAGAACATCTGAGGTAAGATATAAGAAATAACCAAAATCCCAATCCAGTGCTGGACCTACTATGCCTACGCCCACTCGACTAAGGACTACTCTCAAGAGCAAGAAGTTTTGCCACACTCATACTGAATACCCCCAAGACCGTTTACCCTGAGTGCTTAAACTGTAAAGATGACCGCCCAACCCTCGCTGCTAGATGCCCCGTGTGCAGGAAGATTGTCTATAAAGTTTATAAACAACTCACTGACTCTCAGAAGAAACTTCAGGACACTAATGGAGCAATATACGCTGCCATCACACACAAGCCGACACTCGGAAGATACGATTAGTAGCCCAACAACCAACCTTCCCCACCTTCACTACCATGAACCCATTATCAATCTTTCAGGACGGCATCATCAAAAAAATCCACACCTGTCTTGTGTTTGCCCCCCTACGGAACCCCTCCAACCCAGGAACTTTTACTGAAGTCACCATCGTTATCTTCATGCTTAACAACCTCCCAGAAATGAAGTTCCCTGAAGATGACTCTACAAGAACGCTTAGAATCATCAACCAACACCCCTCCGGTGTACATATCCGGGAATCACTCTTGTCTGTGGACACCGATATATTTATCCCTGAAGCAACCAAGCCCACTACTACCCCTGTTACCTCTGCGCCCACTACTGGCCCTTCAATCCCAGAATGACAGAGATCCACGTCTGCCCCCCCTCCATCCACTACTGACGCTTCAGTCCCAGAAACTCAAACCGCCATCTCTGTCACCGAAATTGCTGAAGCCATTGCCAGCCGTCACCCAGGAGTGACAGGAGTCAAAGCAACTGTCATCGCTTGCCTAGAGAACATAAAAGCTGAGGACCACGTCTCCGGCTTTTAATGGAAAAAACTCTGCTACTACACCACACCCTCAAACAGTAGCACCATATAATGCAAAGAACTATGCGCACAAGATTATGCAACGATACAATAAAATTCGCCTGCAGCCCTCCCTACATCTCAGACCAAGTACTTGATTTCATTAAATGAAACATCAGCGAGAACGACATTCCCTCAGGTCTATACACTCTATCCAAAGAAGCCTTCAGAAGACTCAAGAACGGATCCTCAACCATGAATTCATCATAAGTTTCAAGATCAACACTCCACTGCCTGCTGAAATACACTCTTCAGCTTCAGCGCCTATCACCATCACCGTTATCTACTGTTGTACTGACCTCTTCCGTGCTGCCCTCATCTCTTGCTGTGGACGCTCCTCATTGTTTCTACGACTGAAGACGCCCCTCTCCTGTTCTATTCTTCGGTTATCTCCACTTTCTCACTTTCTCCTTACCTGAAAGTCTATCTTCCTGTCTATGGATTGCTGAATGATTTTTACGCAGGGAAAGGAACACTTCGAAGTCGTGGCCCTTGACAACATTTATAGCAGAGGTGGTGAGCTTGTCAGTTCAGTCATCGTTAAATTAAAGCAAACGGTCATGTAAGAGTCCTTAGTACTGAGGAGGTTGGACAGTTTCACTTACAGAGTGGTGGTCAGGAGTGCTGCCAGAGTCTTTTTCATCGTGTACGAGATGGTACTACGAAGTGGGTGAATGCACACAGTGCATCTTGACGTGACAGCCTTGGAGAGAGCGGAGTCAGTGGTACTACTGTGGTCACTCTCATTGATCCGATTTCGGTACCCGTAATCTCTCCTAATGAAAGAATACACGATAGCATAAATGCAGTGTATATTAATATTAGGGAGAGCAAGTGACGCAGAGTCGTGAAATGAGAATCTGTCAGGTCAGAAGGGCGATGTGAGCTGAGAAGCATGTAAGGGGGTTTAGGTAACTGTAAACTACCTAGTTTCTGGGTGAATGAGAGTCGATTCCATGCACTTTCTTCTGCTCCAGGATTTTCTTTATGTTATCCTTTTAGCCGTGAAAATACAGGAACAGAAGAAAATATTTGAAATCGGTGTTCATTCATACCATAAATACCATTACCCAATATGAAGGAAGTTTCTAGTTGACGAAAGCCTAGGTCACATGCCCTCTCAGCATACATTGCCCTTCTGACCTGACCTATAGTCAGCTGAACACATTGGTTTGGGTTTTGGGCGTGTTTTTATCGTAACTTCAAAGGAAGAAAAGCAAGTTCTAGTATAATTAAAAGTTTATGAAAACTCCGTAGAGTGATTATTTTTAAAAATTGAACACTCGTAGTTTCTGAATAAGTAGGTAATATAGCCTAGCTATATGATTATTTCATGGTATACCCGTGTGTGGGAGAGGATGCCTGTGGCCTAGTGAGCTTTTTCTAGCGATACTGCTTTCACGTGGATATCCATCAAATTAACTGACCACACCCAAAACTGCTGAACCACACGAACATCTACAACATCTCACAATAAATAAGGATTGTGAGTAGACAGTAGTCATATTATAGATCTTTTTTTTTTATTTTTTAGTTGAAGTCTTTGCTCCCCCTGCTGACCTTGTAACATTCAAGTGTCGCGCCACCGTGTATTGATTGGACACCATCTAGTGGCAGACACACGGACTACACACCACAGCTGTCAAAATGGCTCTCAAAGATTTAGTCGGAAAAAGTAAGTATTTCAAACTATTTACTGTATTTGTTTCTGATGTGACTGTGTGCTTGAGTGCGTGGAGTTTCCCAGGGTACCATATATGAAAGAATTTTATCGTGGGTGGTGGGATGAGAGGTGTGTGTGTGAGGCGGATGTGGGTGGGTACTGAACGTCGTCTGCTGCCAGCCACTATTGTGTTTCCCTTATGTAACTCTTCTTTCCTCACGACGTTAGTCTAGGCCATTATTGTTTATTTGTAGTGTACACAAGAATGTTTTCCTGTAGACCTTACCTTGGTATGTCTACAGGTTGTAGATTTGAGGCAGAGACCAAAAAAGTTGATGTTTTGACAGTTGAGGGAGTTGTCATATGAGATTGACTCATATACTACATTATAGTATTTACCTGAACCCTAGCTTTCACAAGCTCTCTGTATAATTTCATTATTTCTAAGTCAAATTGACATACCCCTTTTAATTTATGCAGAATTTTAGTATATACTATACACTATATATGTTTTGTATTTTTATTGCACTTTATTTTGTTGATCAGCATATAATATTCATAAATGTTGCTTAAATTAAGTTAAGTGCTTATGGTAAAGAATATGTTTGTGCATTTGGTAGGTATAAAACACTGAGCTCTATTAAATCTATATATTTGAGATTTCATTAAAAATTAGTGACAGTTTAGTTTGTAAAAGCTGAAAATGGAAGCAGAGAACGTAGTTTTATGAAACCGAGTGGTGAGTGTGTAAGTATATCCTGGGTGTAGTGTTGATGAAAAAGATGAGTAAATATTAAATCACAGAATGGGTGGGGAGTGAACCCATGGCAAGCGAGTCTTAAAACTCCAGGCCAGTGTGTAAGTCACTTGGCCAGCTGGCTACAATAAGATTGATTCAACTAGGTGTACTTCTATACACCATAGGGAAGTTAGTTACGGCTCACTTGCCATGGGTTCAGTCCCCGCCCGCTGTGATTTGTTTGCAGTCGTGTTATGATTTTGAGAGTCATGAGTAAATATTGAAGAAATATTTAAATTTGCAAAATAACCCACATTCAATGGTACACAAGTAATGGGAATGTTTTCTGTCCAACTACGCATCATCTTCAATTAATACTTAACTAGTTGGGAGGAAGCCCTTAAATATGTATACATGTAATGTATTCAGATGCCATCATAGAAATTGGGAAAATGTTTACCATTTTTTCCAGTTTCTGGAACTGTATTTTTGTATATACTATATCCAATTTTGACAATACTTGACTTTTTTTTATCATTACTTATACTGTCACTAAACTGTTACAATAATTTCATGTGGACTGCAGAAAGGGAGAGAGTTTGGTTATTAGGTTATTTGTAGTAAAGCTTAGTTACAGGCTGAAATGCAAGGCTATGATGCCCCCTTCCAAATGTTCTATTTATTTGCTTTCAAAATTGTCAGAAGGGAACTGAGTCTTCTTATGTATTATAATTTTCACGTATTAATATTTTATAGCATTTGGCAGAAAGTTTTGCAGCATAATTTATAATACAGTGGAACCTCTGCTTATGAGTGCCCCACCATGTGAGTTTTTCAGGATATGAGCTGTTGCTCAGTCGATTTTTTGCTCCAGGATACGAGCCAAAATTCAGGTTGCGAGCTTCCCCCTCGAGGGAGGATCCTTGACGCTGGTGAGGGGCTCTTGATCTAGGGAATTGTATCTGCTCCAGTTCCCTAAATTAAGCCTGAATACCTTCCATCCCCTTCCCCCCAACAGGTGCTTCCCCATTATAATAATAATAATATAATAATAATAATAATAATAATGTAATACATATAATAATATAATACATGTACTATAATAATACTATAATACTACTATAATACTACTATAATAATACTATAATAATTATATATATAATAATACTAGAATAAAAGTGAACAAATTTTTTTTACCACATGAAATATACATTTTCCTACACAAAAAAGGATACATGCACAATAGTAGAGTAGTACATGCACAATATATATTGTGCATGTACTACTCTACTAAATGAAGAATAAATGACACCTTTATTGAAGATGTAGCGATGACTGATGAGACATTGTGTCCTGGGAGTGCCTTTTCCTCCTGAGTAATGTAGGTCCTGTTTGGCATTTTCTTCCAGAACAGGCCTTATCACACTGTGTATGCCACTACGATTCTTAAATCTCTCAAACCAACCTTTGATGACCTTAAATTCACCAATATGAGCACTAGTTCCAGGCATTTTTTCCTGTTCACCTGGGTGTTAGTCGACTGATGTGGGTCGCATCCTGGGAGTTAAGATTAAGGACCCCAATGGAAATAAGTTACAGTCCTCGATGACACACTGACTTTCTTGGGTTATCCTGGGTGGATAACCCTCTGGGGTTAATTGTTCTTCGGTATTCTCAATAAGCCACACCAACAACAGTCTCTCCACATCTTTGAGTAGTTCAGCTGACCGTGGTGCAGCAGCAGCTGACGGTGCTACAGCAGCAGCAGCTGACCGTGGTGCAGCAGCCGCTGACGGTGCTACAGCAGCAGCTGACCGTGGTGCAGCAGCAGCTGACGGTGCTACAGCAGCAGCTGCTGCTGTATTTCAATAGTATTTCTCACCCATTTTACCACACGATTGGCACTAGAAGCTTTCTTTGGGCCCATGGTGGCTTATTTAGCAGTTAGAAGCACTAAAAACACTGGAATAACACAAAATGTTCCAAATGTATGTGTGGGAGCGACTGCTCTGGTTTGTAAACATTGGCACACTTGCTGAAGGCAGGCCAGCTGAGGCACGCTCAGGCGGACAGACACATGGGGACATGTACGGGATTAATGCTGTAGGTCGAGTTTTTCACCATATGTCAGGGTCAAATTTTTATGCTGAAATGCATCGTAGGTCGGTTTTTACGTAGGTTGGGGACATCGTACGTCGGGGGTCCACTGTATTTTATTCATTCTAGGGTATATATCCGGTTTCTATGTCATTTATATTGTTTTCTTATATTAGATGAATTGTGATAGATAAATAAGCTGTAGAGTTGATATTAGTGTTATATTGAATTCAAATTCAAATTCAAAGTTTATTTTCTATACGGATTACAATGTTGATTTTACAGAAATTTGGTTATTGTGTGGTTTACATGTTGTAAAATAGTGATTACAGAAGTACAGTGGACCCCCGACATTCGATAAATCTGACATTCAATGCATTTTAACGCAAAAATTTCGCCTCGACATTCGATGGAAAACCCGACATTCGATATGATTCGTACAAACCAGCCAGTCTGCGCGCATCTAAGGATACATTCGGTACATTCCATATTATCCATATTATCACTGTTTTTGGTGCTTGTTTCTGCTAAATAAGTAACCATGGGCCCCAAGAAAGCTTCTAGTGCCAACCCTTCGAGAAAAAAGGTGCTAATGACTATTGAAATGAAAGAGATAATTGCAAAGTACGAAAGTGGAGTGCGTGTGTCGGAGTGCATGATGATTTGGTAAAGAAATTGCCTGCAGCTAGTGGTGATGTGAGTGAATTTAAGGCATGGTGAGGCTGCCAATTCAAGTCCTAATGGAAGGGGATTCCCCTTCTAAACACTAACACCATCCACACTCGCCCCTCCTCCCATCCCATCAATCATCACCAGATCTTCATTAAAGGTAAGTGTCAATTATTCTATTGTTATTAATCTATTGTTATTATTGTTATTCTATTGCATTAAACTTAATATTTCATGTGGTAAATTTTTTTTTTCATACTTTTGGGTGTCTTGCATGGATTAATTTGATATCCATTATTTCTTATGGGGAAAATTAATTCGACTTTCAATATTTTTGACATTTGATGGCTCTCAGGAACAGATTAATATCGAATGTCGGGGGTCCACTGTAGTACAGTGGACCCCCGCTTAACGATCACCTCCAAATGCGACCAATTATGTAAGTGTATTTATGTAAGTGCGTTTGTACGTGTATGTTTGGGGGTCTGAAATGGATTAATCTACTTCACAATATTCCTTATGGGAAAAAATTCGGTCAGTACTGGCACCTGAACATACTACTGGAATGAAAAAAGTTTGTTAACTGGGGGTCCACTGTATTTTGTCCTGCCTCCTGAGAGCAGGAATTCCACTGGAATGGATTAATGGTATTTCATTTAATTTTAATGAGGAAAATTGACTCAGCATACGAGCAGATTGGGTAACAAGCTAGGTCACGGAACGGATTAAACTTGTAAGCAGAGGTTTCACTGTACTTATACAGTGGTACCTCGGTATATGTCCGCTTTGGAATAAGTCCAACTTGGTATACATCCTGTTTGGACGCGAAAATTTTTACTTGGTATATGATCTTTGTTTGGAATATGACTTCCCTGGCAGGACCTATGTTACACAAGAGGAGAAGGCATTACCAGGACACAAACCAGTGAAGGATAGGTTAACTCGCTTGTTCTGTGCCAATGCAAGTGGGGATTGCAAACTGAAGCCTCTCCTGATCTACCACTCTGAAAACCTGAGGACCTTTAAAAAACATAACTTGCAGAAAATAAATAACAAAAAGGCACAATACCGTGACTGGAACGATACACAAATAACCCGCACATAAAAGACAGAAGCTTACGACGAAAACTCAGTTACCTGTGATGTGGAGGTCACCAAACAGCAAGGCTTTGGTAACCAGAGAATATTTCAGCTAATGGTTTAATGTTGTGTTTGGGCCAAGTGTAAAAAGTTATTTAGAGGAGAAAAACCTGCCTCTGAAGGCCCTCCTCAAAATGGACAATGCTCCAGCTCACCCTCCAAGCTTGCAGGACTACATGCTGCCAGAGTTTGACTTCATCACTGTAAAGTTTCTCCCCCCTAACATGACTGCTCTCATTCAGCCCATGGATCAGCAGGTCATCGGTAATTTCAAGAAACTACAATAAAGCACTATTCCAGAGGTGTTTTTGAAGTGACCTCTGACACACAGTTTTGGAAAGATCACTTTACTATTGCCCGTTGCATA